TGGGAGTAAGAAATATATGTGAAATTTAAAATTATTATTAATTTGAATTTTTAACTTTACAAAAGCCAAGATACGCCTTATTTATTTCTATCAGAAACAGAAGACTTACTAGTGCTGTATTATTATCGAAATAATTGTTGATCAGTAAATTATAATAGTATTTATATGAAGGCAAAATTTCCTGGCACTTTATCAAATATAAACTATAATAAAATTTGAGTCTTTGTAAATATTTAATCTGACTTTTAATATTATTAAAAAGATTTTATTATCTGCACCATAGTTATATTTATTAAGCCGCTTTGTAGTTTTACCTTTGACACCTCTGTGAATTCTATAGGCATACTATATTTAATAGCTATTTTGTATATGTAAAATGCTCAATATCATATAGTAAACTGATTTTGATAATTTTATTAGTTATTCGAAATCATTAATCTAAAACCAGTACCTTTATTCATAATATTTAAGATTATTGTCTTTATGATTATTGAGACTACCAGTAAATAAACATGCTTGTGATGTTGGATCAATGAAATCTTTTAAATTCACCTTACATTTGTATATTAAGTTATCTTGCTTTATATAGGCAATATTATAGTTAAAAATTCTATCTACCTATTTTTGCTGTATTTAATGTTTTTAATAGTGATATATCCTTCCTATCCCAGTGGTGCCCCACTGCCCTTCTCGGAGGGACTCGTGGCGCGTAACCCGTGCTCGTCGAGTCGGTCACCGATTTTAGGTGGACGGCTCGCCATCTAAGGGAAGGGCGCACGTGTCGTGGCACGACGCGCTGCCCTTGCTCCGAGCGTTTGGATAAGGTCCCCATGAGAGATGCAGAAATAGAATTGATTTGGCATGCGCTTCGTAATATACACCTGGGCTTGAATGATACCTGGTTGATTCTGCGCTTAAAATTTAACAAATATGGTTTTTTTTGTTCAACTGAGATATGCAAAAAGTTTTTTTTGTTTGTTTGTTTAATTTGCAATTTACGTAAAATTAACTTATTAAAAATTTCTTGATCCTTCTATCTATATTGTTTAATTTTTAATTCACCCGTGCAAAGAACGGGTATACCAGCTAGTATATAATAAGCTCTAAATTTTTTTTTTTCTTGTCCTCTATTTCCTAGCTCTGTATGTACTGTGCCACGGGATTCGAATTATTTCAAATATTTCTGATTGGGTAACAATCTGAATCATATTAGTAGATTGGTGTGACACACCACAGCTACAAGGTTGCCAATCCTTCGAGTAGCTCATTGATTTAATGATTTTAGAATTCAAAATATTTGTAATACGTCTCCAATACACCCACTTTTATGTATCTATTAGTTCTAGAGAAAAAGCCCAACAAACTATGATTTGGTCTTTTCCAATTAACGTCTCACTTTGTTACATACAGAGTCAGTGTAGAGATATTAGGTGATGAGGACAGCGCCTTAGGAGGTATCTCATTATCAGACTTCTACACGATGTAATGGAAGGACAAAGAAGTCATTCCTACTTTCTATGTAGCAATTCCACGACTATTCTGCCCTGCTACATTGGGCAAAGTTACACTCAGTTCGTGATTTTACCTCGGGTTACTCTTACAACAGCTTGCAAAAATGATCGCATTCAGGGAAATTTAATTGAAAAAACACTATTACACACTAAAAACGGATCTATAGACATCTGAACTGGAACTCACAACTCGATAGTGATAGTGATGACCACGTGATTGTGACAAATTTGTTGTGGAGTGAGTGTTTATTAACGTGACACAAGAGGGCTATTGGTGCCTGACCTCATAACTTTGAACCATGGTCAAATGACGAGGATGACACCTGACCTGAAATCTATCTTAAGTATATAATTATGAGAACTTGTGAAGAAAGAGATATTCTCTCGTTCTCGCCTAGAGATGTAGGGGGAAGGGAAGGAAACTAGCCATATCCCAAAACAATCTATTTATTGATCACACAATTCGCAACGCAATTAGCAACACAATTCAAGTAATTCCAAAGAGAAGAGATGTTCTCAAACTAAGCAGGATGTGGAATAATAACAAGATAAGCAAACTATGAGAAGATTTTGAATATCGGCCTACTTAATTCTAGATCGAATCTACCTTGCAGTTTATCCGATCACTAATTACACTGTAGAGACCAATCGTCACTTTAATTTCTTCACTTATCTGATATCTAGAATACAAAATTGAATAATATACCTGATCAGTAGCAATCTATCCTATCTCTTCACTTTCTCTCTCTCTCTCTTAGCTAGAAAACCTAGACTAAATATGGACGACGTAATTTAAATAATCAAGGTTTCTTCTTCAGAGGGTTGGTTGTGAATAAACACGAATTGATAGACCAAAGATTTCCCAAGAGGATTAATGAAAGGACGTGGATAGATCCGTCACAAACTCTTCTTGGTTTTTTTTTTATTAAGCAGAAATGATTTTAGTACTGAAAATTGAAATAAAAACTATTTACATTGAAAAGAGTTGATTGGGCCAAGTAGCGCACACGAAATTTTTCAGGGATGGGGGTTCACGGTCGAAAGTCCACCATTTTGGTATCATGCCCAATACGCCACCAACATATTCTTTTTGATTTTGTCGATTTTCGGAACAAAACCCTACAAAATTAATTATTGAATAAATATAGCATTAATTAATATAATTAATTATTAATACGCTAATAATTAAATTTTTGAAATATATTCATAGGACCATTAGGGACATAAAGATCCGGGGTCCGAACCTCCCCTCAAAGCCGTCGATTTTTGGATTGATTATTAATTCCCAAGCCTAAAATTTAATTAAGTATTTGTTATTAATGATTAATTTTATTAATTAATGATAATTACTTATTCAATAATTAGTTTTTTACTGTGTTTTATTCCCGAAAATCGATAAAATCAAAAGGAGCAAAATACAAGAATGGTGTACCTTTCGACCCGACCCCACCCTGAAAAAATTTCTGGAGTGCTCTACTGCATGGACTATAAACAATCGGAAAAAATACTATGGGGATGTCTGACCCCTAGGGCACCCCCGTTGTGTGCACCACTGGTCCTCAAAAATATTTTTAATTATTCAATTTAAGAATGGAAAAATACTTTGATATGAAACCGAAACCAAAACCTATGCTCAGAAAATTTCACACACACACACAAATATCTTAAAAACTAATTCGTTATCAGATCTGAAGTTTGGTGTCAAGCTTCCCAATGATATGGGCCACAAGAAAATGTAAAAAAAAAAAATTTTTTTTTTAGTGTTTTTGAAATTTGTAGGATACTGTGTAGCCTTAAGTGAAAGATATTTAGTGTTAATTAAAAAGAGCCAAAAATAAAGAGAAGTAGCACTGAAAACAAAAAATTGTTAAGCCTTATGGAGAATTTACTAAAAGAAAAAAAGAAAAGAAAAATAGCATGGCTTTCTTTTTTAATTTTGTTCTTTCCATCCACTTGTAAAATATTTGGCTGTTCTTAAAATGTGGTAATGTAATTACTTTTATTCTACGAGTACAAATTTATATATATATATATATATATATATACATATAAAATTTTTCTCATAAAATATTTGTTATGAATATTCCGATAATTTGATGTTTGCAGAACAAAATCATTCATCACTAATAGTTTCGAAATCGATCAGTGTTTTCTTAATGGTAACAAATGCACATTTGAGCAAAATCGACTTCCTATTTTAACGAATATTACAGCTACGTACATACTTCACCCCTCCCTCCCTCGTGTAGCTCACATTTCCATTCTAAATCACACTCTCGTGCGATCAAGCGATCGTTTGTTTCACGCTCAGAATGGTTCTAATGATCGTTATTAATGACACAACTCCACAAAGGAATAACATTAGTACCATTCTTCCTTTTACCTATGCATATCTTCATCTAATACAAACAATTTATTTTACCATCTTTTTCCCAAACGATTTCCATGCTTCTTCCTACCCCCCTTCGATCTTTGTTGTTTATTTTCTCTTTTTGATTTATCATAAGGAGGAGAAAACTGCCACCCTAAGCGTCAGATTTTTCACCCTGGCAGGTGGTTCGAATTGCCCCAAGTGTTCCACAGACGCGCCATTCTGTGACTTCCAAAAGAGGCACACACTTTTAGAAGAGCTATTGCCAGATGCGGAGGCAGTAATTGAAGACTCAGCAGCTACTTTTGCAGTGACTAATGATCGATTTGAAGGTAGATTGCGACCGAGCCGCGAGGTAAAACAATGAAAAATATATTCCTCAAACGGCGGTTTCTTCTGAAGTGAGTGTATTTCGAATTCAAACTACACCTCGCTAACTTTTCAGACAGACGCGTGATTAAGAAAAGACAGAAATTAACCTTCCTCTGGAGTTGACATAAACTCTAATTGACCATGCTGCACGTCATGTCATAATGATAGAGTCACACATTTCGCGGTGTTTTCGGAAGGTATCGGGGTGTGGTAATGTCGGGGAAATGTTTGCTAAAGAACATAAAGATCGATGCAGGTAATCGCACATTTGCCTTGAATAGTTGAAGTAGTCATTTAGGGATACACACCTGATGACGTTTGAATTGTATTACAATTATCGATGCATGAGTTATCTAAGATGTTATTCTAATTTTTGATGTATATGGCGCCTTTTTTCCCATTACTTTTTCATACTTATAAACGACATTCTTTGATTTGTGTTTATTTAATTATCACATGATCGCTTTTTCAATTCCTACTATTAGTTCACTATCTCCCTATATAGTATACACACAAACACACACACACACACACATATATATATATATATCTTGTTCAAATTTTTAATCTTTAAATATAGTACTTTCTATTCATCAATTCGAGTTCAAATACATTTTTTTTAAACTTGTAGTGTTAACACACTTTTTTGAAACATTAACTCATTAATTCAATTAAAAAATTAATAAATAATAACAAACAATAATAATAGTCCAATAGTGTGTATAGAAAGGAAAATCGTTCGTTGTGTCCCTGTAGCGCAATAAATAGCGCGTTGGACTTCTAATTCAAAGATCGTGGGTTCAATTCTCACTTGGGATGGCTTGATGTGATTTCTTTTCTCTATACTATTTTGTTGGAATAATTAAATTTAATTAATGAATAAATATTTAAAAACAAACAAAAAATAGTCCAACACCATAAAAGAAGGGAAAACCCTTTTATTTTGTCATTAAATTTTTGATTCTGTTTTCATATGTATATATATATTTATATTAATCGTAACTATTTAAAAAAGTAAAAAAAAAGGTTTTTTTTTGTTGACTAAGAAAATTTTTTTTTTTTTATTATTATTTTTTTTAATGAAAATCGTAAAAATGAAAGAGCATTATAGTTTTTAAATAATCATGAAGAGTCAATATAATGTTATATTAGGTCTTTTTCATAAAGTAACCTTTTAAAAATCGAAATTATTTAATAATGATTTTTTTATTAGCGCACGTTTAGATTATTTAAAAATTTAACACATTAAAGTTGCGAGGTTTTAAAAAATAATTATAACCCCTTAATTTAGTTATAATTTTTCAAAAATATTTATAAAAGATAATTTTGTCTTTCTTTAAAAAACAATGATTGATATTATGTTTAGCTTGACGTCGATTGAATTATTCGATTTTCATTTACATTAATTGTTTTAAAACACAAAAAAAAAAAAAAAACTTTTTTAAATTTAATGTCTCGAATAATAGTTAAATAAGTTAAATATTTTGGCCCCAATTTTTTAAATATGTTTTAAAAAAATTTTAATTTTTATATATTTTTTTAAAATAAATTATTTAAAATTTTTAAATTTTTTTTTTTTTTCTTAAAAAAATGGGAAACGTTTGGGTAGTTTTTTTTTTATTCTGGACATGATTGGCGTACTGGAATATGATTTATATGTACAGGTCTCTGTTTTGTTATAATGACTCTCCCTCATTAAAAAATAAGTTTCAAAAGTATACTAAGAGGGCAATTACGTGTTAGAAATATGATCAAGGATACCCAACCTTCGACAATGAAGTTTGGTGAATAGTCCTGTAAAATTAACGTAGATGAAATATTAACGAAAGTTACCTTACTGTCCTTCGAAATAGTCACATCCCATAACTATGCATCCCTGTGATCTTCTATACAAGTCCTGGAAACTTTGCAAGAAGTCTTCTTTTAGGATGAAGTTCAAAAGCCTCGTCACGTTTCGTTGGATGTTAGGAATATCGTCAATATCGATAACACGTTTTTCTCATCCCTAAATTCTGGGTAACGATTTGTCACACGGATTCACGGTTAATCTACAGTTCATCATTTATCATGCGCACAGTTAATTGATGACCTTTATTGATTAATCACCTCACTTTCTCAATGTTTTCGTCACTGACGGAGATCGCCGATCTTCCGCTGCGGGGGTTGTCAGAAACACTTTCTCAGTCTTCTCGAAAACGGGCGAACCACTCGTACATACACTTGGACAGTGCTTGATCTTCATAAACCTGTACCAGCATCGCATGCTTTTGGTGTTTTGCAAAGCTTAAAACAAAACTTTAAATTCGTATTTTGTTCGTTCATTTTCCTGTTCTCAGTTAAGAACCAACGCACTAAACAAGCACTTTGTAAAACAAGTCTTACATGGAACACAAACGACGCTCAACTGAGCAACGGTGGGGACAAACGGTCAACACTTGCCACTACGCATGTGCTGCGCTTTGTTTCGCCAGTGTTGCTAGATCGGTCGCTCTGACTTCATTCACCGAACTTCATTGTCAGAGATTGTATTCTTCTTTTCGTTTGAAAACAAGCAAGTTTGGTCAAGTGATTGGCATTTAAGAGTTTTGATAGACCTCTAGGCTTTCTGAAAGCAGTTAGGAGAGAAAGTAAATCTTTCATTTTTAAACAAAGCTCATTCTTCGACAGACTACTCCTTTTGGTCGAAATATCGATCATCGTCCTCTAAAATTTAATAAATTTTTTTGTTATACAGTCGGACCTCTACGTAACGAAGTAGCTATATCCCAGAAAAAAGTTCGTTATATGGAAAATTCGTTATATAGAGATTCATCTTTTAATATACTTTATATAAACCACATAAAACAAATTTTAAATTCATAAACACTATATATTAAAAAAGTAATAATGTACACCTTTTTTTAAATTAATATATGTTTATTTTATATATCTTACCCATAAAAAAAAGAAAGATAGAAAAGAAAAAAAAACCACAAGGAAAACAAGAACAAAGAATGTCGAAGATTTCACTGTATTTTCAATATTAAGAAAATAATTTTATACTAAAAACAATGAATTTTAAGGACATTTTATAATTTAAAAGCATACAAGTAATATTAAACATACTTTATTTTATAATAGAACAGGGGGCAATCCACTGAGTGGGTAAAGGGGGATCCCAAGATGTTTTAGTGAACGGGGGGCAATGGGAGTTGAAGGTTGACTTTGGATGAAACGTCAGAAATCTTTTTCCCCGGGAGGGGGATCTAAAAAACCCGTTCAAGATTTAAGACCATAAATGTGTTAAAAAAAAAACGAAATGTCAAAATATTTTTAAAATAGGAATAAAATTGAATCAAAAAAAGAAAGGTTCGTTAATAGAAAATCATTGCTATAGAGGGTTATTTTAAAAAAAGGGAAATGTTCAAGGTTCCAGCAAAAAGTTCACTATACAGAAAAATTCGTGATATAGAGGTTTGACTTTATTTCATATATAAGAAGATGGAAAATTTTATGAAAAATACCGATCACAATGTGAAAAATCTTTCAATTATTCTAAAGTCGTTGACAATATCCAAGAGATTCTAGCAGCTTCCAGGAGAAGTCATTTACCCTGTTCATCATGGGGCGGAGTTTGGGATGGAGGGGAAAGGGGGCCTAAATCAAGAATCTGTCTCAAGAAGACATGTTCTAGATCGATTAGAGTTAAAATATCTGCGAGATGCTTTTTTCTTGGTCTTTCGTCAAAGGGGGAGGGAAACATTATTGCCTCAGCTCGATGCGAATAATTTTGTCACATCGGACTACGCTCCAGAGGCGAAAATGTATTCAAAATTCCTGAAAATATTAGTTGTTTTGTCTTGAACCATCGAAAATATGCTGAGTAAGGATCAGACAGCAAGGAATTTTGGATATTTCACGGGAGTTCTGGTTTATACTGAAAAGCGATTCAGGAATCTGCAGACGAAGGCAAGCACCGATACAACTAATCAACAATGTTTAAAAACACAGTAACATGGTGGTGGACTGGGTGATTTGACAGATGATCATCATTGACTCTTTTGTTTTGACGGGCTCACGCTTTTTTCATTAACATATCCTTTGGGCTTTGGGGCCAGAATAAATGGAAATTTTTTTCCAAAACCCGGGGAAATGAAACGTGAAGGAAATAAAAATTTGGGGAAATTTTTAAAAAACAGAAGTTTAGAGTGAGCGAGGTGGATTTGGGAATGTTATTTGTGCGGGGGCAAAAGTAAGAGTATTTCACGATTTAAAAAGGGCAGTCAAGAGAGGTTACTCGGACAAAGAGCCCATGGCGATACCATTGAGCCAGTGAACCCCCCTTTAGCCAGGATCAGATAGATTGATGTGTCGTTGGGCTTAAAGGAGGAGTGACCATTTAAATATTCGGATCGGGTACATTGAATTTTAGGCGAGTTAGTTATTTATAGTGGTCCGGGGACGTTATTTCGGTATTTTTATTGTGTGTTTACCAGTTCTCTCCCTATCATATTATTATCAAACATTGGTATGTTAAGATCTTAATAAAGAATATTAAAAATTATGGCAGCTTCAGTTCTTCTTTTATTCCTCCACCTCTAGCTCACGCTGTAATCTAGGAGAAGGGGGACCGGGGGACCCATACAGTGCTTTTATGATTTTTTAAATTATCCATAGTTCCGGAACCGTGATTTTAAAAAAGGCTGAAATGGATAATTTTTATGATATTTAGGGTTATTTGATTAGAATAAATGTATAAAAATGTTTTAAAGGGGTTTTGACAAAAAAAAATTTTTTAAATATAATATTTCGGGAAAAATTAACTTAGAATAACCATTTTCAAAAAAGTTCTCCTTTTGTGAAAAAAGCTTTTTTAATAATATTTTGCCTATATATAACTCAGACCTCTGTACAGAGGCTCAACTAGAATTTTGAAATATATAAGGTGGGTTTATCCGTTTTTTCGACAACAGAGGTGAGAAATTTTAAAAAAAACGTCATAATTATTTCAATGGGTTGTAACTTGAAAATAATGTAATTTTTTAAAAAAATCATAGGGGCCCTGTACAGGTCTGACTTTTGGAAAATATTATTATAATAGAAGCATTTTTTAAAAAGGAGAACATTTTAAAAAAGGCATTCAATTTTTTTTGCCAAAATTTGTTTTTAAATCTTTTTTTTTGTCAAAATGCCCTTAAAAAAATTTTTATAATGTATTCTAATCTAATGACACTAAAATCATAAAAATTTATCCATTTATGCGCCTTTTAAAAATCAGGGTTTCGGAAGGGTCGGATACCTTAAGTCCTCCTCCGGGTATTAATAACTTTCCCAACAAGGGTTACTTCACCTCCGATCTTCGCTTCTCATTTCAGTGTCCGACAAATTGGTAACAGAAAACCGATGTCCCCAAAGCATTGCACCCCAAGGGGGGCCTTTCCCTTATAAAATCCGTTTTTAACGTTTTAAACTTTCCTCATAAAATTGAGATGTAATGCTTTTTCCAAAAAACTTTTTTTTTTGAAAAAAGGGTATTTTTTTTGTTAAATTTCAAAATTTTTTGTTTGTGTAAAAAGGTTTCTACATATCCTACAAATTTTTTATTTTTATATTTCATTCATTTTTTAAAATTAGACTAAAAAAAAGGTTGCCAACTTTTGTCGTTGAATATGTATGCTTGTGTTGTGCGTAATTAGAATGCAATAAAAATAAATCTAAAAGAGCAAAATGTATATAATAAAGATTTCTGTAGAATTACGTATTTTTTCTCAAAGTATTTTCATGCCCTTATAAAAATTAGTGTAGGCACTTTTGAATCTTTAAAAGATATATTTACATAT